GCGAATAACGTTCTATGCTGGAATTTACTGACGAGCTAATTGTAACTGATGTTCACAACTTGTGCGTAGTTCATTAGAGCAATTCTGAGAAGGCTTGTAAGTGAATTTGTAATTTGAGTAAAGATGAGCGATTGAAACGCGTTCAGTTCGCTACTAACGAAATTTTCGAAAGAAAACTGAAAACGAGATTCAATTCAAGAATGCACACATGACCATTGTTGTTGTGCCTGAACGAAAAAAGTTGACGGCCAATTGGATCAAGTGATCATGCTCAATGAACAACGACAAAATGACGCAATCATGAAAGTGATATTACGACGTGTCACAAATCTGTAATCGCCATAAGATACAGAATCTTAAGGTATCGTTATTGTTGGTAGTATCAAATCAGCAGAATCGACGGGGTATCATAACGAAGTATTCAAAAACTATAATTAAACGTTTACGCATATGGTTATTTGGTGCAACGAAATGGAAAAGAAATAAATAAGGAGACGCATTAAAATGCGCCTTAAATGGGAGAGTTCAGTTAACGAACAACGAATCAATCGGTCACCACAACAACAATTGCCTAAGCACAAATCCGCATAATGCGTATTTCAACATATTTTAATATATTCAAAAAATAACGCAAATTGCGTGGAAAATTATGCAAAGTGACGATTGACATATGTGCAAAAACTGTAAATTACTATGGATAATATTGAAAATTTGCGTGCAGTTTCGATTTCGCTGACAAATCACAACAAAATATGCAAATTTGTGCATGAACTGAAGTTATAAAAGGGAGGCGGCGTTCGTCTTCAATATCGTCGTCCATTTGGGTAGTGCCGTACAACACTAATTTGTAGTGTTGTTGTTGTTGGGACTATTTTGGGGTTGTGGTGATACTGGGCGATTCGGCTTGGTTTGAAAGAATTGTTTCATCACCACGATATTCGGAATAAGAACGAGGGAAAATGACGCAGTCACGGAAGAGTTATATCAAGCGCAGCACGGCGGAGCGTACGTTACGCTTCCTGTTCAGACGACGGCCATGCATGATCGTGGCATTGTTGGAAGTGCTGCTTATGGGCATTCTGATTGTGGTCTTAATGTGGATGATGATTATCTATGATAATGATACACGCAAAATTGCCTTGCTGGAAAAGGTTGTCGCTATGAGCAAATCGGATGAAGTGGATGAATTCGGCAAGAAATCAGACTTCTGGCGTTGTCAATACGACGTGTCCAAAGATCGCAATACATCCGCGTACAACTTCGAATTGTGCAAAATATCCTCCGAACGGAGTCCACAAAAGTTTGCGTTCATAAATGAATGGCCAAACGACAGTTCTTGTACGGGACGTATGAAGAGTGTGCCCTGCCAGACGTATCGATCCAGTGAAATGCTTCGAGCCGACGAACTTGCCCCCTATCAAGAATTGCCGCGAAGTTGCATGGGAGTAAATGGAATTGCGATGCCCTATGCGTTGGTGAACGTGAATCGAGGAAGACTCGTACGAAGAATCTCGTTAAAAAATTTGATAAAATTTAAAGGTTAGGTAGTGGAAACTTTCGAAGCAATTAATTCTTTCTGAAAACATACACTCAACTCCTTATCAGACGAAAATAACTTCGTCACTTCGCACTACTTTGTAACAATTTAGAAAAAACTTCGATCTAATGAACGGTGAATCACGGTTAATCGCATATAGCATAGCAAAGTATTATCAGTTAAATTAATGACACGTTATTATTATTATTTTGATTTCTTCTGTCCTTTCAGCTGCCCCGAAAATTTTAAATATCAAATTTTCTATTGCACAGAAATTATGTGTCATTCCTCATCGCCACTCGCCGATTGCATACATACTACTACAAGAATGTGCAAGTGCTTGTTATAACAATAATAGTAATAAGAGTAAACTGATAATATCAGTATAAGCAGTAATAATAATGATTATAATCATTGTGCAATAATGATGGCTGTCATTCAGGTCGCATCGCGTTATCCTCGGATCTGTTCATGCGATGTCCAAACTGTCGTGTGAATAGTCAGTATCATCGAATTAAACGAAAAGAGACGAGACAGGTAACTAAAGAGGTTATCGTCGATACAAGAACTCGTGTAAACGAAACGCGCAATCAAACCGTAGAGTATTGTGCACGACTACTGCGAACATTCGTCAAGGGATGGCCCGATTTAGTGATGTCTTGCGATATGCAGGAGGAGAGCGAGATTGACATTGATCGCAAAGTGTATTGTCCTTATAAGAAATAGAAATAACAAATTATTTGGTTGCTGATATGAACCATTTATTGTTTTGTTGTTCACTGAAATGATGGTGGTATTGGATGATTTGTTTTGTGATCGTGTTGACTTTGGATATTTTTCGTTGATAAACGCTCTTTTTCAGTTTAAAGACACCGACTTGAAGATTGAATTTGTGTATGTGCGTAAATTTATGAGCGATTGACGACGTATTTGTATCGTGTTATCCTCGGATCTACTCATCCGATGTCCAAACTGTCGTGTGAAAAGTACGAATTAGCGAGGTGCGAAGATTAGATAACTAGTTCGTTGGGCTAACAGAATTCCAATTCAGTGGTTTGAATTTCGAGTGAAATTCATACGAACAGAGTGCAACTTCACAGTACGACTGTATTATATGGGGATGAGTTGTATGTCTATGGTCTAACAGTAATAATAGTAATAATAATAGTGATAATAATAATAATGGTAATAATAATAATAAAAATAATATTTATTCGCGTGATAATATATGTAGCAAAATTCGGTAGTGATAATCAAACCAGTCAGTCGCTCATTATAAGGTGAGGTGAGCAGAATCTAAAACGAAAACTCTAAATTTGATAATAGGATGAACTCATAGATGAAGTAAGCGTTTTCGTCGAACCATATCCGAATCAAAACCACTCCGAATGAGTTGAGAATACGCAAAATGCGTTTTCGGAAGGAAGAG